ACTTTCAATTTAATTGAAAGATGTAGTGAACCATAGGGTTGATACATAGGGATATATGTATTTGAAATTTGTTCAAACTCGAGATGGTAAAAAAATACTTTATTACATTTATAAATGATCATAGTCATAGTAGATATTGTTATAAATATTTGTCAAGTAGTAAGGATGAGTCATCGATGCATTTGTCGGTTACAAAAATGAAGTTCAAAATCAACTTGACAAAATGATCAAGGTATTGAGATCTGATGGAGCCAATGAATATGACTCGTAAAATTTAGATAAATTATGTGTTAAGTTTGGTATTATTCACCAATCAACTGCTCCAGATACTCAGCAAAATGGAGTTGTTGAGAAAAAAAATGAAATTTTAAAAGATATGATTAACGTTATGCTTATTAGTTTTATCTTATTACGGAATTTGTGGGGGGAAATAATTTTAACCGCTTTATTCTAAATCGAGTTTTTTTTTTTTATAAGAAAACTAATTCAATACCTTATGAATTGTGGAAATACAGAATGCCTTCCTACAAGTACTTAAATGTGTGGGTTCTTAGCAAAAGTTGTTATTCCGCCTCCTAAAATAATCAAGTTAGGACCTAATACTGCTGATTGCATTTTTATTGATTATACAATAAATTGTAGTGCTTATAGATTCCTCATGTATAAATCAAAAATAAGTGACATTCAGGTCAATACAATTATCAGACACAGAGATATTGAATTCTTTGAAAGTTTGTTTCATGATAAAAGGGATACTTCTGAGAATAATAGGAAAAGGAAAATTGATGATGCTTTTAAAAGAAATAAAGAATCTGAACCAAGGAGGAAAAATGCAAATGTTGCAGCATTTAACATTTGAAAAATTCTATCATTAGCCCAAAATTTTCATTTTAAAAGGGAGCAATAAGAAGTGTGATTGAATCCATGCGTAATGATACTTGGTGATTGATTGGTCTTTCTGATCGATTGATTACCCGCAAGTAATCGGGATCGTGAACAAGTAATAAAGTGGTGTGTAGAGTATCGAATCCACAGAGACTATGTGTTTGATCGAGTTAAAGCTAATAATTCCCTTAATCGAATAGCAAGGTCGAGTTGTAACTAACACTATTATATCTATCAACTAAATAGAAAGCAAGTAAAAGTTTTTCAAATTTGTGAGAAGTATTGCTAAGATGTGAAATCTCCCTTGCTACTCCATTTTTAGTTCGATAATTTAAATTGACAATGTGAAATCATGCTTGTTGGGATGGCAACGAGCCGAGCCCAGCCGGCTCGCGAGCCGAAAATCAAGGCTCGAGCTCGACTCGAGCTTTTTGAAAATGGGCTTTTTTTGGCCCGAGCCGAGCCGAACAAAAGCTCAGCCAAAAAATCAAGGCTCAGGCCGAGTCGGCTCTTTTTTTTTTTTTGCGAGCCGGCCCGCGTGCCACACGGGCCGGCTCGAGCTCGTCCCGGCACCCCAAGATGGGGCTCGACTCGAGCTTAGGCTCGGTTTGACCGAGCCTCGAGCTGAGCCGGCTTGAGCTTTTTAGCTCGGTTTGACCGAGCCTTGAGCTGAGCCGGCTCGAGCTTTTTGCGGGCCAAGCCACGGGCGGCCCGAGCCTTCGAGCCTTTTTGTTATCCCTACTTGTTGGTCAATGTTCCTATTTTAATTGAAAACCTCTTTCGATAGTAATCAAATATATTCCCCTCATGCGACTTTCCTTTCATTCGATGAAAAATGCAAACATGATAAATGCATTAAACGAGTTAGAACATCTTACAAAAATCATATGAAGCATAGAGGTATATCTCTATCCTTTATCGAACCTCACAATATTTATTATTTTGTGCTAATAATCATATTGTCTCTCTCGATAACAACAAAATCTACAAACAATTCAACTAGTGGTCAATTAATTGAAAAGCATGAAAACGATAATAAACATCCAAACAATTAAACAAATTAACGTCAATTAAATTATTCAAATTAAAAATTCATAACAAGGGTTCATCACATTCTAGCAAATATGAAAAATTAGCCTAACATATTTAAATTACAAGAAATCATATATAAGTGAAAAGACATAACCTAGATTTTTGATAAATTGAGAAGATGAAGACAAATTTTGAAATCTTGAATCTCTTCAATGGTTTCTTAATAAATCTCCACTTGCGCTCTCTCTTCTTTGTCCAATACCAGGTTTGAATTTTCACTTGATTGAATTCTTGCAAGTCCCCTTCAATTCTCTCACAAAAATTGGTGAAAAATCACGTCCAAATTGGTTTCCAAAAGAGTTCCAATCGAATAAAGAAAGTTACACTCGCGCGTGGATTTTTTGTTTTTGCACAGCAGTCAGTATTTTGATCATAACTTTGTCTCCCGATATTTGATTGAGTTGATTCAAAATGCGTTGGAAAGCTAACTAAAAGGGATACAATTTTTCTAGAAATAGATATTTTCCAATTCGGACGTTTACTATGCCAAAAATTGGTCTCAATCCTTGACTAAAAATCTGAAAAATATATCATGTAATTGGAAGTCGATTTATGGTAATATTCTGATAATATTTCATTCCTTTTTGACTTCTAATTACTTCAAATTGACTCCCATCAATCTTTAAAATATCTCTTATGGTCCAATTCAATCATTGGATATTTGCAATTTGGTCATCAACTTTGTACTTCGCCATTTTTCGTCGTTTTTCACTTCTTTCTTTCGGTTTAACTTCCAACCATCGAATTTTACCTAATAAATGAAATATACAACAAATTAGGCTATAATTGTTTTAAAGAATTATTAAATGTCTATATTTTTAGGTCTACATAAGTGTATAAAATACACTTATCACTTCCCAATGGAACTAAATCAATTGGATGCAAATAGATTTTTAGAAGAAAGTTAAAATCCAATGGTACAATAGATAAATATAAGGATCGGCTTGTTGTCAAAGGATATCATAAAAAAGAAAGACAACTTTTTTTACACTTATTCACCTATAACAAGGATAACTTCTATTCGAATTTTAATTAGCAGCTTTGTATAACTTGTAAATACATCATATGAATGTTAAAATTGTATTTTTAAATGGTGAATTAAACAAGAAAGTTTATATGGAACAACCAGAAGGCTTTAAAGTAAAAGGCCAAGAATATTAAGTTTGTAGACTTGTTAAGTTCTTATACGGATTGAAGCAAGCTCCTAAATTGTGCCACGAAAAGTTTGACAATGTAATGATTAGGAATGAATTCACCATAAATGAGTGTGATAATTGTATCTGCTCAAAAAAATTCAGAGAAGCTTGAGTTTTTATTTGTCTATATATTGATGATATACTCATATGAGGGACTAATATAGAAGTAGTTAATGAGACGAAGACAATGTTAACCTATAACTTTGATATGAAAGATGTGGGTGAAGCAAACATAATTTTGGGAATAAAAATTTCTAGAACACCTAATGGGATAACCTTGTCTCAAACAAATTATGCAGATAAAGTGATAGAGAGGTTTAAGATCCACGGTATTAATAAATCTAATAATCCATTTCTTCCTCGTGTAGTTCTTCTTAAGGAAATAATAAACAAAAATTAGAATATTCCCAAATAATTACAAGCCTAATGTGCTTAATGAATTGTACAAGGCTAGATTTAGCCTACTCTGTAAGTAAGTTAAGTTGATATACAAGTAATCCCAGTAACAAACATTTGAGCACATTACTTAGAATGTTGGGATACTTAAAATGTACTCGAGAGTATTACTTGCATTGTGTAAATTATCTTCCAGGAGTAGAGGGACATATTGATGTCAACTTGATATCAGATATGGATGCACATAATCTACTGGTACCTATGTATTTATTCGGTGGTGCAATTTTTTGAAAATCTTCTAAACAAACATGTATAGCTCGATCCACAATGTAACTCGAGTTTGTTGCTTTTAGACAAAGTAGGAAAAGCAACTGAATGGTTAAGATATTTTTTAGAAGATATTTCGATGTGGCTAAAGCCTGTGCCAGTTATATGTATTCATTGCAATAATAAAAAAACTATGGCTAGAGCAAAAAGTTTTGTATACAACGGTAAGTCGAGAAATATATGTCATCGATATAATACCGTCTGATAGTTACTCTCAAATGAAACAATATCAATTGATTTTGTTAAGTCGAAGGATAACTTAGAGAATCCATTTACAAAATGGTTATCTAGAGTAAGAATATATTGCGCATCGAGAAAAATGTGTTTAAAGCTTATATAATACTTAATGGAAACTTAACCTACTACTGGATCCCGTGAACTAGGTTCAATAAGAAAACTAGTATTGAATGACTCGATGAGAAGCACTTCGGAGTTTTAATTCCTCATTTCTATGATGCAAATAATTACTGCCTACTAAAGACTGATTACGATAATATATGCTTTTAATGATGACTATATCTTGTAAATAGTATTAATGGAAAATTGTAGGGTAATCTTTATAGAACATCAACTATGTGAGTGCGAACTTGACATATTCAATTGAGGATTTTACTTAAACAAATTCTCTAACACACTTGCAAAACTAAGAGAGTTCAGGGCCGAAATAATGAACTTAACAGAGAATCAAAGTTTGATATGAAAATAATGTGCATGATTTATTATTTATGCTTTGTAATAACGGTCAATGGTTCAAAATGTCGCATTCACTAATTAGCCAAGGGAGTCTGATAGATTTTTACTAAGGAAGGTTCCAAGCAAAAGCTACCTATCTTGATGCATTACTTTTCAGTAATACTCATCTTCATCTTCCTTGGATCTTGCCGACTTCTTCCATTCATGTGAGAGATTGTTAGAATTTTTAGGGGGTTAATTGATGATTTTGATGTGTGAATGGGAGAAGTTTCAAATAGGTGCATCGATTGCGTGCAACTCTTCAAGTGCAAAAATGTGAATAATAAAGAGTTATGGCCTTCTTATAAGGTACAATCTAGGGCATCAATTTTGAAATGATGTAATCCAATAGTTGAAATTAATTTTGTCAAACGATGCGATCATTAGGAAGAGATACATGAAAATCTGTAAGTATGAACAACCTAATTCCTTTTTTTTTTCACTCCAAATCAATTCCATATCATTGATTTTTTTTTTTAATTCTTTCGTTTTCCAAATCATGTCAAAATAATTTTCAAATTATTGTTTCGATATCTTCAATTCTAGAAGAGTATTGTCAAATATTGTTTTGTCCGACAAAATTAATGTTGTGTTATATTAATTTTGAAATAAGCGTATATTTTGGAAGGCATCGTTCATTTAATACTATTAGTACTAGTATAGGGAGGCGAATTTTGTATTAGAGATATTTTCATTTGCATATCTCGATTCATTTTATTTCATTCTAATTTCTACATATCAGTAAATCGATATTTCATAAGCATATCCTAATTTTGGTAAGTTAAAATTCTATTCTATAGCTTGCATGTGTAAGTCGTCATTTTGCATGTTTTTCATGCACATATTTTTTATTAACGAAATAATTCATGCACTAATTTATCCAACTGAATCTACCAAAAAAAGTTATATTGAAGAAAATAAGTTGATCCTATTGTTTTTGTATGTAATGCGTGGAGAGATTAGTGCGATGATTAATAAACAGTAGTGGAAGATTGAGAAACCCATTCCCAGTATAAATATTTCAAGTTATTGTATTCATTATATGTTAATCATCCATTAATATTTAAATTAAAGACCTTCCAATTTTTTTATTGAATATGTAATGAAATAATTCTCATGTTTGATTTATATTTTGATGGGACAAGATTATAGAGTGATCATACGAGTTTAATATAATTTATCATCGAAATTTTTTTCTCTTGATGTGGATTCCAAGCACACAACTTCAAAT